TAGGCTCTGAACCTACAAGGCACGAAATCTACAGAACACCAGTAGGCTCTCCTTTGGGAGATGTTTGAGGATCTGGTGGAAGTCCCCGAGCAGACTACGCAATACCAGTCGCTGAGGGTGCCTCACGCTCCGAGGCTACTAAATCACCATGTGTTGGTGATTTAGGTACCCAGGATATGTATGTGACAAAGGAGGAGCTTAAAACCTTTGCCACAAAAATATTCAATAAGATAGACGAGTTGAAAAGCTTGTTTATCTCCTAATCGATAGCAGAAGACCTTTCTCCAATAACAGAAGCTCTGAAGGAGTTGAGCTCAACCACAGCAGAACTCAAGTCTACTCTTTCAACTCTTCAGAGCTCTGTCTTACAGAAGGATGACTCACAGAGGCATTCAAAGCTCTAAGCCTCAACCCCTCCTCCATCTAGACCTTGAAGATAGAACTTTCAGAGATGGCTGCCCAATTCTCTGCCGACTTCATCTCTGCGGGCTACACGGATTACTCCTCTCTCAAAGATGAAATCAAGCAGATGTTTTCCTCTGCGGTAACATATGGTATTGATACCAAGTCCTCAAGGGCCAACATCACCTTGCTACCCGTAGAGAGATTGATGCCATGGTTGAAGCTCTGGGTAATCTCGTGTGCAAGCATACAGACCGTCTTCTCAAAGAGGCCCGTGCCTCCAATACAGCAATCAGAGACTGCATATCACAACTCGTGAAAGAGGGTGACCTCCTCAGAAGCGAGATCTACAGAAGCATCTCGAAACTGAAGTGGTCAACAGAGATAGAAATCAATCACGCCTCTAAGCTTGCAAATGAGGCAATAAAGAAGATGAAGAAGGCGGCCATCAAAATTTTGAAGAGGTTGGAGAAGGCTCCCCTGGATAAATGCAAGGCACAAGCCAAAACAAACCATGACGATCAAGAAGGTGATGATCGTGATCGTCATGAGGGGGAGAAGAAGGCTGAGAAGAAACCAGAGCCAAAGAAGACTCCTGCTAGAGGCGTCAAGATCGTGGACTCTACAGCTGCCTTGTTTTCAAAAGGCAAGGAAAAGGCACCAGAGCCTAAAGGCAAAGGTAAAGGCAAAGTTGTAAATTCACCACAGAAGGGGTCGTCGTCTATTACAGAGACTCCACAGCCAATAAACGAAGAAGAT